CGGAGGCCAGACGTGCACTTGAGGTGGCAGAGGCGGAGGCCAGACGTGCACTTGAGGTGGCAGAGGCGGAGGCCAGGGACGCACTTGAGGTGGCAGAGGCGGAGGCCAGACGTGCACTTGAGGTGGCAGAGGCGGAGGCCAGACGTGCACTTGAGGTGGCAGAGGCGGAAGCCAGACGTGCACTTGAGGTGGCAGAGGCGGAAGCCAGACGCGAGGCGGCCAATCGCTTCCACGGCATGAAGGAGATAGCGTTGGTAATGGCTGCTTCGGCGTCTGGGTCTGAGGTAGAAGAGATCCCCACACTTGAAGATGCTGTTTGTACTCGTGAGTGTGAGGAAAAGGCTACTGTTTTGGACCCTGTTTTGGAGGTGGAGCATATGCGTGATGGCGGTAGTGAGTCAGTGGGGCGACGCCGCATGGCTGAGGTTGAATCGAGGTCAGTGTGTGACAGCCGTTCTGCTGTCGGTAGTATTTCCTGCATCAAAAGTATATGTGATGATGAAGAAGAGGCGCGAGGAATTCTCTTGGAAGCAAAGGAGTCTCAGTGGGACCATATTTGTTCCCTGTTTGAGGAAGGAAGGTTTTGTGTGAAGTCTCGAGTTGGGACGACCGAGGAGGAGGAACGGATGTTGTCCGCCTCGAGAAGTTATAGTAATGAGTACAAGTGGCGTATGTTGAAGATGGTTAAGCTGCCTCCCGATACACAGCCGCCTAGACCCTTTATTGGGTTTTCTTTGGCTGAGTTCCTCGCTGAGTCGTTTGTACAGGTTGACGGCTTGTACTTGAATGGACCTGCGTATCAAGTGGGAATTCGTATTGGTGACACACTGCTGAGTATTGAGGGAGAGCAGGTTACGAGCATCTCTGAGGTTCGACGTGCTGTGTCGAAGCACTGCCGGGTTGCTGATCTGGCGGATCTGGTGCTTCGGCGTCCAGACGGCGCGGTCTATTGTGCGTCGCTTTGGGTAATGACCGCAGAACTGCGCTTCAAGGGTGAACCGTACTTCTTTGATATTAGTCGTCACAAAAGCATCCAAAGAAACCGTCACACGGAAGAGATTGAAGTGACACCGAAGAAGTAGTTAGTGGTTGATAATTTTCACGGCCTCTCTAGTGTCCTTGCTAAATGTGATGGGCCGCCAGTCTCTTTTATACGCATGTGATCCTGCCAGTGGTTTTGTGAGAGAGTGATTGAGTGGGCACGCGCTCTGTTACTTTGCTTTTTTTTTTCTGCTGAGTAAGCTTGCGGAAATGTTATTTTTCTTCTTGCCTCCAACCCCCTACTTTCCCGCAAGATTTTGAAGGCACTCACACTTGTGTGTGTTAGTGGACGCACAGCAGAAGGTCAACGCGACACCTTAGCTGGCACGCTAACGACTGGGTGGAGCATGGCGTTTCACATGTTAGCATGGATTTACCGGACAGTTACTGCCGCCGCGCTTGCGGCGCTGTTACTTGTACTTTATAGGCGCATTTTCAGACTTCGCAACAAACGCTTAACGTCGGCAGCGTCGGCGACGTCGTTTGCCCCTTCGGCTTCATTCCGGAGTCCGAAGTCGAGCCCTGCGTCTCGCACAGAGTCACCTCCGATGGTGACCTCCACCTCGTCGACAGAGATGCCTGTTACCGCGTTAGGGCATGGCTCTGACCATCGTGCAGCAATAGTGAAGGGAAAAGAAGGCAAACAGAACATTTTCTATGACGGTGTTAACTTTGAAAATAATAGGGAAATCGTGAAGGCAATACCTTTTCTTGGCTTTTCGCTCGCGGATAATGTTTTAGAAGGTGCGTTGGTTGTCGACGGTCTGTTTTCCGGGGGCCCCGCCCACCAGGCCGGTCTCCGCATCGACGATGAGCTGCTGGAGGTGAACGGTGGGGCGGTGTTGAACCTTCAGGAGGCGCACGAGCTAGTTGCAGAAAACTGCGTCCCGGGCAGCCTCGCATCAATGACTTTCCGTCGCCAGGGCGGAGAGCCCTTTGAAGTGCAGCTGCGGGTCATGACGGCGGAGTGTCGCTTCTCCGGTGACCCGTTGTATTTCGACCCCACCCGTCACGGCATTCAGGAGAGCGCACGGGAGAAGAGGGAGACCTCGTCATGGCGCGATTTACAGTAATGCTTGGGCGCTTCCGTCGTGTGGCCGAGGACTTCCATTTCGCTTGGACTCCACCGTGCAAGTTTCTTGCTCTGTCGACTTGCGGGATAAGTGACAGGGAAACGTAACACTGGTGAAGGGAACGCATAAAAAAAGCGAGGGAGGGGGGAAAAAAGGAGAAGCACACGTGAGGAAGGGGGGGGCATATTTCTTCCTGAGTTTGTGGGAGAAAATAGGTGCGTGCGAACTAGCAGAAGGCAAATAATACGAAAAAAAATATACAGTTGAACAGCGCAAGGAAAGAGCTGGATGCCTGCATACTTTTGCGATCAAGAAGTAAGGTGGGGGGGGGGAAAAAAAGTGCTCATGTACCCTAGGGACCGCGGACAAATTGAGGGTTCACAGTAAAGCTTAGTTACTTGGAATACTGTATATATATATATATGTTTGTGTGTCACATTGTATGTAATATGGAGAGGCGGGGGGGGGAAGCGGGGAAAATGGGTAGGCTGCGACATCTTTGTATTATTTTATCTGTTGTTTTCGTTGTTGTTGTTTTTTTTGTTATGCATATTTACGTATGTGTGTATGGAAATGTAAGTATATGCGTTGGACCTTGTCTTCAATGACCTTGACTGCCTTTCTTCTTCTTTTGAGCCTTGCATTTTCATTGTATGTGATTTTTTCTAAAAGAAGACGCCCCCCTTCCCTGCATGCCCCGTGCCTACTACAAACCCTTTACCGTGTACGAGGAGGCGGTGGGATTTCACGGAACACGGCGAAACGCATATCTTTGTTGTGCCTTCCTCTTCGCTGGTCTGCTCATTAAGGTATGCGTGCTTTCGCGCTACTCCACCGCGTCTGACTTCTCCGGGATGTCTCAGCTGGAGGACAACCCTCAGTACCGCAACCTGGTGGCGGAGCGCATGGAGCTGGCGGAGAGCCTTGCCTCAATGGAGGCGATGCGGCGAGCCATGCAGGCCCGCCGCACCCCACCGGCTTAGCAGGGAGGAGATGCACGAGGGTGGTGACGTGTGCCCTCCGAAGGTGAACAACCTGTTTCCATCCCTCTTCACGCGCCCTGCGCGCTTCTTCCTCCTCCTCTTTTCTTGACGCACACACGCGATGCCAACCCCACGGCTTTCCGTCCCTTCTTTCACTTTGTAGAACACAGTGTGGTAGGGCGACGGGCCCGAGCACGCGCCTTCACCAAGAAGAACGTTCGCAGACACACACTCGCACAGGCGCACAGAACGTAAAAAAAAAAGGGACGGGAGGGTCAATACGTACTTTAACAAGGGGGTGGAGAAACACGAGTAGCGAGCAAACGAACAATGCGCCCTCGGGATCTTTGCACCGCGGCTTTCTACGATGACGTGCAGCGCATGAAACAACTTGTACGCGCCGCTCTCGCGGGTGAAGACGAGGAGGAAGAAGAGGCGATGATGGATAACGACGAAGACGAGGAGATGGAGGAGGAACAGCTTTCTATACGCCGGCTGGAACGTGCACAGAAGCGACGGGCGGCGGTTGCATCCCTACTTGGCAGCCCTGGACTTCTCCGCGTTATCGAAACAGGGGAGGAATTTGGATTGATGTTCCGCGTGGACGAAGTGTGCGAGAATGAGGGCAGCTGTGGCTTGAAGCCACAGTTTAAACTGACCCGACGAAGTCGATATCCAGCTCTGCCGCTGCATTGGGCCGCACTCGGTCGCTCGCACCGTGCGTTGGAGTTTCTCGTCTCAAGCGGGGTAGATGTGCAGCAGGAGGTTCCCGACTTCCCTAAAGTTACCGCGGCCGTGATTTGTGCATGCAACATGTCCTTTGAGACGGCACGGCGGATAGAAAAGGCGGTGGAGGCGCAACGGCAGCGGCTTCAAAACGAGGAACAGCAGCATCGCAAGTGGGTAGAGACGCTGGAGGAAAAGAAGCGAGAGCGGGAGCGATTGGCGGCGCTCGAGGAGGAGGAAGAGCGCGCGGAGGAAGAGGAGGCGAATGACGCCGCAGAAGACGACAACGACGACGACGATGAAGAGGACGACCCGGAGGCGGCTGCGTAGCAACGCGACGCGGAAAGGTCGCGCCAGATGTAAGAAAGAGTTGGCGCCATATTTGTATATTGCCGATGATGCAAATTCTTCTCTTATTTCTTGCTTGGGGCGAGCAGCGCAGAGAGAAGTAAAAAAAAAAAAAGACTTTATCAAGCAACAACAACAACAAAAAGTTAACTGTTTCCTGTACGCTCTTTCTTTTTTTCCCGCCTTTTTTTTGCTGTTGTTTGGGGATGGGGATCTCTGCGTATTCGTTTTGGTTGCGGCTCTGCGTGGGAAGGAGGTGGCAGAGGCGGGAGAGTGACTAGTGGTGCCAATGGAAAAGCGTGAGCGGTTGTTGGAGGAGTACAAGGGCCTGCAGGCCAACCTGGAAGAGGCCCTCGAGCTGAAGCACAGCAACCAGGCTGACGAGGAGGTAGACGCGTTGATTGAGGAGATCAAGGACGAGCTACGCGCCGTCGTTGTCTCTCTCAACGCCACGGAGAACATTGAGGTTACGCCGGGACTAACAAAGAAGAGCGGAGCAGGTTCCGAACCTGTCCCCTGCTACTTGGAGGCTGCGCCGTACGAGGTGCATTTTGACGAGGTGGCGTGGTATAGCTGCGTCGTCACGGCCGTCGTGCCGCCCGCGACACCGCTGGACCGCATTCGCTACAAGGCGTGGATTTTAGGCTACAACGTTGAGGAAGAGGTATGTAGTGAGCAACTGCGACCATGGCAGCCCCAGACCGCTGAGGGAGAGGGCGCTCTCCGCTCTGGCGTGGTGTGTCACGCGATTGATCCCGAGTCGGGGAAGTTCTCTTTGGCAAAGGTGGAGCGACTCACTCTTGACAACACCGTCATTGTGGCATTTGAGAACGCTGTCGACGACGGTGAGGCGGCCGCCACGGGAATTGCTACTGCCACCGTCAACAAGGAGGTGCCGCTATCTCATGTGCGTGTTGGACGCTTCTACCAGGAGCTTCGCAAGCGGCCAGTGTTGACGCCGGAGGAGCGGGCCAAGCGGCGGGCGGGGAACTTGGAACGGAAGCGGCTGCGGATGCAGAAGAAGCGCCAGTTGGAGGCCGATGTGGCGGCACAGAACGCGAATGATTGGCAAAGGCTTGTGGATGACATGGGAATAGGGGGTGGCCCACGAAAGCGGAAACGCTGATGGGCCAACTGCGTTCCTTGTTTTTTTTTGCTTAATACTTTTCTTCTTACTTATGGACCCATCTCTGTTTGCGGGGTGTAGTATTCCGCTCCGGCTCCCAAGCTTCTGCCATGGCTTTCCGATCCCCCTCGCTCTCAATTTCCGCCTCTTTTTTTAAAAAAAATATATTGTATGCTTCCCCCTTCTTTCTGCCTTTCTTCACAACCACGCCCCCTTGAATTACGGTCATGTGTAAGAGCCCCGTCTACCACCATATTTACACATGGAATCGCTGCTGAAGAAGGCGTACCTGCTGGCCTACAATGGCTCAATGTTCACTGGCTGGGCTGTAATTCTTGCCAAGATTGTCCGTCACCTGGCGTCCGGCAAAAGCATTGAGGATGTGTACCCACTCATTGCCAAGCTGCTTGTCTTTTTCCAGGGCGGGGCAGTGATGGAGGTACTGCATGCCATTCTGGGGTTGGTGCGTGCGCCCATTCCCACCACCGTTATGCAGGTATCATCGCGTCTTGTGGTGTTGTTTGGTGCGCTGCAGATTGGCCCCACCGAGGCGCGCAGCAGCCCCTGCTTCACCCAGATGGTTGTGGCGTGGTCCTTGTCGGAGGTTATTCGTTACGCCTACTATGCAACGAACCTGCTTGACGTAAAGTCCAAGCCGCTCACCTGGCTTCGCTACTCTGCATTCACACTACTTTACCCCGTTGGCATTACCGGGGAAATTGGCTGCTTTTATAGGGCTCTCCCATACATCAAGGCGAACAAGCCATGGTCGATGGAGCTGCCCAATCGCTACAACTGGACCTTCTCGTGGTACAATACCGTGTGGTTCATTCTTCTTGGCCTTTACCCCTATGGCAGCTATGTCATGTACACCTACATGCTGCAGCAGCGACGGAAGGTGTTGAGCGCCGCCAAGAGTCCAGCCCCACCAGCAAAGAAGGCAGCAAGAAAGCACTCTGGCGAAAAGGCAAATAAGGGTGCGTGATACTACCAGGCAGTGGCAAACTATCGTGTGCGGCACGAGGAGTACCGGTAGGAATACTCCAAGCGACGACAACAACAGCAACACTATTGGTTTTACTTGCTCACTTCAACCGCATGTAGTTTTTTCTTCCTCTCCTAGAACGCAGCAGAAACAAGCACGGCAACGGCGTCAAAAAAGAAGAATCGCAAGAAACAAAGAAAAAAAACAATAACAACTGACGACTGCGTTGGCCATCGGTATCGTTTGACTTATGGTTTCATGTAGACGTGTGCGCCTCTATTCAACTGCGGTGCTCGAAAGGCGAAAAGGAAATGGTGGTGCTGCAACACCGAGGCAGGCAGCATAACCGGTGGCGTCGGGGAGAGCCAAATCGCAAAGAGGAAAATGTGACGGGCCACGGCAACTGCAGGAAAAGTGGAAGAAGAAAAAAAAGGAAACATGCACGACCGTTGGCTGGCCCTTTCCCGTCTTACTATTATTATTTGGCTCGCCCTTTCGTGCGCGCCACCCCACGTCGGCTGTGGGCCGGGTGCGCACGGCCATCAGGAAAGCCACTCAACACCCCCCACCACCCCACCCATGCGACGACAAACACACTCTGCAACTAAATACATGTGATTTACGTAATCGCGCACGCGCAGGCGTTGAGAAAGCTGCTTTAATGGCAATGACACATTTTATTCCACTCAAAACATCTGTCACGCACAATGTTTATGAAAAAGTGGGATGCGGTGGCGACAGGGGCGCAACCACGTGTTACCAATCAGCCTTTTCTTCGCCTTTCTTCTCACTTAAGGGAAAGACAACGGAAGTCAGACATAGCCACCCAAACTACGTCACAGCAAACGACGCTCGTGCACTTTGAGTACACATCACTACGTTCCGTTCTAGAACGGGTCAGCAATGCCGCAACTGGCGCCATTACTCGATAAGCTGGACGCAAAACCCTTTCCCGAAATGACTTTCTCTGCCGTTCGCAGCATCGCCAGTTACATTAACGCCCATAACACCAGTAGCGCAGATATTGAGGAAGACATTAACTCCCTTAACACCCAACAGCAAGACACCTTCATGAAGGTTCTCTACTGTTGCCTTGCCAACGACAGTCGATCGAGCGCAACTTACTTTCGCTGGCATGAAAAACTGCACGCAATAGCTGGAAGTGGTGCAATAATCCGCGTAATGACTGACAAAAACAACATGAGTCCGGAAAAGCAACAAACCTGAAAAAATAAAATAAATAAATTCCTTTGAGATTTACACTCGCAAACATTTACTCTGGCAGTGCGGGCCGCGCGGGCTCGCCATCGCCTCTCCCCCCTCTCTCTGTTTTTTTTCTTTTTCTCGCACTTTTTGGTTGTCTCCGCAGAGCACCTCAGCGACACAAGCACCCAAACAAACCTACAGCAAACCGAGCCATGGCCACTCCCAAGAGCTCCGCGGCGAAGCGCAGCAAGGGCGGCAAGACGTCGCACCGCAAGCCGAAGCGGACGTGGAACGTTTACGTCAACCGCTCGCTCAAGGCGATCAACAGCCAGATGTCGATGTCGAGCCGGACGATGAAGCTCATGAACTCGTTCGTGAGCGACCTTTTTGAGCGCATCGCGTCCGAGGCCGCCACGGTTGTGCGCGTCAACAAGAAGCGCACGCTGGGCGCGCGCGAGC